GGGGGACGGAGGTAGGGAGGGGGGTGTATGGGGGCACAGGAACCCCAATGGGCTGAGGTTGGGGTGGAAGGTGATTGGAAGGAGGGAGTTTGAGGGGTGCTTGGGGAGGGAGGGGGGGCACAGGACCCCAATAGGCTAAGGTGAGAGGGTGAGGTGAGGGGGGACTGGAAGGAGGGAGCTTGAGGGGTGCTTGAGGAGGGAGGCAGGCGGAGAGGGAGGGAGGGAGGTGTATGAGGGGTACAGGACCCCAATGGGCTGAGGTGGGAGGTGGGGGTGGGAGGGGGCTGGAAGGAGTGAGTTTGAGGGGTACTTGAGGGAGGGGTGGGGGGGACAGGACCCCAATAGGCTAAGGTGAGAGGGTGAGGTGAGAGGGGGTTGGAAGGAGGGAGTTTGAGGGGTGCTTCAGGGAGGGGGGCACAGGACCCCAATAGGCTGAGGTGAGAGGGGGGTTGGAAGGAGGGAGCTTGAGGGGTGCCGTGCGTGAGGAGGGAGGGAGGCGGAGAGGGAGGGAGGGAGGGGGGTGTATGAGGGGTACTGGACCCCGAATGGGCTGAGGTGGAGGGGTGGGATGGGAAGGGGTTGGAAGGAGGGAGTTTGAGGGGTACTTGAGGGAGGGAGGGGTGGGGGGGACAGGACCCCAGTAGGCTGAGGTGAGAGGGTGAGGTGAGAGGGGGTTGGAAGGAGTTTGAGGGGTTCTTGAGGAGGGAGGGAGGGGTGTGTGTGGGAGGGACAAAACCTCCAATGGACTGAGGTGGGAGGGGGTTGGAAAAGGAGGGAGCTTGAGGGGGGGGAGGGAGGGGGTGTGGAGCCGGAGGAGGACCCCCAAGTTGTGAGAGGAAAGGTTAAAAGAGGTGAGCCTCCCCAGGCCCTCCCAAGTGGGGTGACATTGGGGCATTTTACCTGTTTTGTGGGTGTCACATGGACCAAGAGAAAAATTATAAAAAAAATACAGACCCTTCTGTGAAGATGGGGGTGCAGTGGCAGTGTCCCCACATACTCTGCTGGGCACCCCCTGGAAGCACCTTTAAATCTTAGCACCTGGACCTTACTTTGTGGGCCCCCCCTCCTCAAACTTGGCCATGCTGTCTCCCTAGGAGTCACACTACCTGCCATTGCTTGATAACTCTCTCTCTCTCTCTCTCTCTCTCTCACCCTCTCTCTCCTAGCACTCATCACTTTGAGCTACAACTCAACTTCTGGCTTTTTTTTTTTTCCTTTCTGGTAATTGATTGGAGATTAGAGTTGCACTGCTACCTGGGCTGGCTTTGAACCTTGATGCTCAGGTCCCAGTTCCTTGAGTAGCTAGGATGAGATGACAGGCCTGAGCCACTTGCTCTTTCTCTCTTTTGTACTGATTGATGGATTGATTTTTGGTACTGCTCCTCGACCTTGAACTCAGGCTCTGTCCCCTGCCCCCCCCCCCCTTGTGGGGCTTGAACTCCATGCCTGGGCGCTGTCCCTGAGCTCTTCAGCTCAAGGCAAGCACTCTACTGCTTGAGCCATAGCACCACTTTTGGTTTTTTGGTGGTTAATTGAAGATAAGATTTTCACAGAGGGGCTGGGAAGGTGGTTCAGTGGTAGAGCGCATGCCTTGCATGCCAGAGGCCCTGGGTTC